GCTTCAGGTCCCAAAGTCAAACGAACACTGCGGCATCACTGAGAGTTAAACTTTCTAAATTGTTCAATCTTTAATAAAATGATCAGTTTGGCTGCTCTGCCAGGTGTAACAATTAAGTTTAAAATACAGGCGTCTGTGAAAACAGGATTTATGAAATTTAACGGAGGTCGAAGTTAGCAGGAAGTTAGCTCGCTAGTTTCAACCTAAACATAATATACTATGTTGTGACTGAGAGATTTCTGAAAAAATTAAAATTCACAGCTCTGCTATAACTTCATATATAACTGACAGACAGAAAACTAAACAGCAGTCACGTTTGTAGGGTTACTGACGTTTGGCTAGCTGGCATATGATGCTACGTGGTGGCTAGCTACACAGCTATGGTTAGCATGACATAAACACATTAGCACAGTGACGCTGGAGGATGAACGTTAACCTTTTTACACCCAATAAAAGTTAACGTGAGGGTTCCTGATGGTTTTGGAGAAATGCAATTGTATGGCAGGATCCTGTAAACTGACCAAACTTCAGTCAGAGCCACTGATATAATCCATCCACTGACGTTTTTTAGGGGTTTGTTTAGGTTAAATAACAAGATACAAAGCATTAAAACCATTAAAAAAACAGCCTTAATAATTGCAGAGTAGTTTGGACCTGGAAGCAAGGTTCATATGTCATCGCTTGAAGACCGGATTGTATTGAGTCCATGTTGTTCTGTCACAAAGTGAAATAGACCGGTTTCACATTACTAATCAATTGAATTAATGCGAGCTTGAGCTTCATTTAGAAGAGTTTTTGAGACCTCTACATCATCAGTGTGATTTAAAACCTGAATAAGTTGAGTAAATTTTTAAAAATTAAGTTGCATAAAAATGCCAGAAGTACCAGAAATGTACAAATAAAAACTCATATGGGCTAATTTATATTTCATTTCTTTTTGTTCTTCCTAAGTTGCCAAAAGGTTCAATAAAAACACTTCAGTTTTTTGTTTTTGCTTTTTTTTAAAAAATCTAATTTTCCAGCAGTTATTTTGTGGTCCAGGCTTCACAGAGTTAAACAACATTTCCATGATAAACAGCCGTCTGTTACACACACATGCTGATTCCTTATTTGCTTGACTCTAAACACTTCTACACATGCTCCGTAGTCCTGAAACTTTTCTAGACTTCACCACCATGCTGCTGCACGTGAGATTGTTTAGTGGGTGGGACAGTTCCAGTCTTTTACTGACCAATTCTCTAGTGCCAAGCTGGTGTTGTGCTTGTTTTATACCCATTTAAGAATAGAGCAGGCAGTAATTGGGTAGATGTGCCCTCCCTCCTGCTTGCTCTATCAAGGCAGCGCCCTCACCCAAACCCAACAGGGTGTTTCTAATCGTGAGGATCTACAGCAGAGAAACTCCAGCCGTGTGTGGAAAAAGGCTAAAAAGGCTGATTAGTTGTTACATCATTTGCGTTGTGGTGTTTCTTTCTTTCTTTCTTTATTTATTGAAATAAGAAGAACATTAGTTTAATGCCTCCTTTGAAATAAAGTTGCACTAAATGCCAGATTAGATTTAATCCCTGTGAGTGTGATGAAAGAAATCTAGGTGGACTGTCTGTCAAGCCGACTCCAGTCCATTTGCTTGCGTGAACCCAGTTATGCAAACAATGGATTTTCATAATATCAGATTTTATCTTTCCACTACACCAATGCCTAAGTCGAGGAAGATTCCCCTCTGCCTTACTGGAAATGCAAGCAGCGAGCGCTGGTAGTGCCGCCTCATTTGCCTCGTGTGCCACAGTGTTTGACTTTTCTTTCATTGCTG